ATTATATACATGTAAGACATTAGTTCGTTCTTATTTCCCTAAACCCATTATAAAGGGCTAAAATGGATAAATATAAATCCATACCTGTACTACCCTACTTTGTTTCTTCAAAGATACAGTCAAGTACCCTTTTCTTCTTTTTATACTTTCAACTCTTTTTCGAAGAAAAAGTAACATCTAGCTCAAATGAATAATGCAATGTTCCATTTACCTTAACATACACATCTATACATATCCCCTCTATACATATGCACATACACATCTATATATAAATATATATATAGATATATAAATGGGTATGTGGACTTACTTACATTTACGTTTTTAAATTTTCATCTTAAGAAATCAAATATTTGTCATGTCTAAAGCATTATATATATATATATATATATAAATTATATTATTATATTATATAATATAATATGTGTGATTTTATACACTATTATGTTATAATACTATATATATATCCTCGTCGTGATAGTATAGTTGAGTTTAAAAATACGTCACAAAAAAGAAATGGGAATTCATTCAAAGAAATATAAAAAAAGAAAATTATTAAAAAAAAACAAATAAGATTATCTTTTCCTGCTTAAAACGTTTCATCTACTTTCATAAATGTGTTTCTCGTTGAATGTGTTTATTCTATCACACGATCATCCTGTACGCTTCCAAAAATTGCTATACCAAAAATATCACATGAGGTAATCCCTATGCAAAGTAAAACAGTAAGAAAGAGAGAGAGAGAGAGTTAAAAGCTGTCAAGATGTTTTCCGTTCATGTTAGGGTTGTTTAAAATTCAATTGCGTTTTATACAAAAAAAAAAAAAATACTATCTTAAAAAAGACAGGAAAAACAAAAAAATACCTACTAAATCATTTTATTTCTTATTTTATTTTATTTTTTTTTTTAAGGAGTAACTTTACTAAAAGTAGTGAGGTTTTTTCCGAAAAGGAACAAAAAAATAAATAAATTATTATTATTATTTTTTTTTTTTTTCATAGATTATCATAATAAAGATAGATTAGATTTGAGAGTTTGGTTTTGTTAGTTTGAAATGAAACTATACTTATGTATATGTGAGTTCTTATTTTAAAAACTTGTAGAGCGTGATGTTACTAGAACACGCCAAGCTTTAAGAAATACTAATAATAATAATAATAATAAATCAATTTCACGATTATATGGTGGGTGTATTTTTAAAAATAACTCACGTAAGATTGAACCTTACGTTCATGTTACTTTATAATTTTTTTTCTTTCTTTCTTTTTAGTTAATCTAACATTACTTCTAACTTATTTCTCTTTCTTTCTTTTTTTTTTTTTTTATATTGCAGTAAAAAAAAAGAAAAAAAAACTGATTAATACACGAAAGAAACTACAATAAAATATTCATCAATTATTTGTTTATTTATTTAGATGAAATTAAAAAAGAAAAAAAAACGATTACCAAATTAATCGTAGTAGATCAAACAAATTCCTCATTTCGTTGAGGAGGAGGAGGATGCCGTTTTGTAACAAAATCGAATTTATTTCGATTGTGAAAAAAAAAAAGAGAAAATTCATAGAAAAATTAAATATTTATTTAAACCCCCTCCCTTCTTCTTCTTCTTCCTCCTCCTCCTCCACGAATATTTTTACGAATATCGAAGAATTGTTCTCGTCACGCGTTCAATATTTGAACATACAAAAAATCCCATTTTTTCCGAATAGCCCAATGAAATGCATCGAATATAACAGGAAAATCGTTTTCGTTTGACCGACAAAGAAAAAGAACAAAAAAAAAAAAACAGAGAATTGTGCTACCAAAATCTAATCTATTTTTATTCCACCACCAGAAGATGGAAATGACCTAACCCGATTGGTTCAAAAAAAAAAAGAAAGAAGAATAAAAAAAAGAATAAAAATGGTGATATTTCGCGTAACAACAACAACAACAACAAAAGAAATTGTTCATTTCCATATTCGTGTCGTGTGTGTGTGTGGGGAGGGGGGTTTATTAGAAAAAGGAACAACAACTATGAAAAGGGTAGTTTTAGTTAGGGGGTTGGACTG